TGCGCATGCCTGGTGTAGACCCATATAGACACCATGCAGCGTTAACACTGGCACATTTGCTGTGCAGCTAACACACAGAGGGATTCAGCCACAACAAACCAACCATAGCCATGATGAACCAACAACCAAGAATACACAACTAATGAGACATGATGCAGGACCAGTGAAAACCATAATTCAATTAACCAATCATAAGGACTTTGGGCAACAAGGAACATGTGGTATATGACAATGAACATGCCCTGGAGACTAAGAGATATTAACAAGCACTGAGAGATAACTACACTAGGAGAGACTAGGAACACAAGAGAATACGATTAAATAAGTGCAGCTGGTGCCCATTCAAGGCTTTAATGATGCACAAAACTGGAACCTTCATGCTTCATTTGCCTGCAACATGATTCAGTCTCATACTATGTACAACATGTGACTGAATGCAAATGGACCATCTCCATGTCTTTCAACCCTGCAGGTTGTCTTGCAATGTAAATCTTTCATAATTCCATGCCTCTTTACTATTCAAATATCAATAAAATATCAGATGCAAATATTAATTTTCCGAATTCTATGTTCACTACTGCCAGTGCATAGTGGTTTGGCTTATGGTTTTAGAAATAAATATAGGCTCAAATTTTTGCATTGCCTTTAGTACTATACCTATATTTAGAAAACATGGAAACAGCAGGTTAAATATTAATATTCTTCATGGCAGGGTGAAGTACTTTCAGCAAAGCTGCAGCAAAACTGTTGTGTCATCTTATATCAAAATCTGTCTGCAACTGGTATTAAAATGAATCTGAAAATGCAAATAAAGCATATTGTATAGGTTAGTATAGGTGAGCCATGTCACTGGCACAATTGACAGACTGTGAACAGTTCTTGGTTCAACCACAAGGTGGCTTTTATTGCATCCCTACCATTTGCACTGACGACACACAGACACACGGCCCACCATGCTCATCGACCCGCTTACTCCTAACAAACACGGTGGGCCCACATACACTATTCACAATGATTAACATTTAACACTACATGTGACATTACTTACAGTGCAATGACATCACAATATGGAATGGCTACAGGAAACTAACAAGGTTGGCACCAGTCCATGATGGGTACCTCCATTGCCTGTCCTACTACCCCCACTGTCCAATGTCCCAGAAGCACTCTGGGCAGCAGCAAGCCCTCAAAGTCGACCACCGTACTGGTCAGTCCCTGTTGCTAGGGTACTGATCACCGGTCCCAGTGATCACTGGTCTGAGAGGGCCAGGTGCTGGTACAAAACCAGGTGGTCATGGTGCAGCATGAGAGTCCTGTGCCGCTCTGGCATCTGCACCCATATACTGCTTTGGAGATCCATTCCAGGACCTCCCCAGGGCCCCTCCACTGGCTGCCAAGCTTGGGTGACCACCCCTTCTTCTAGATGAAGCAGTACATCCAAACAAGATCCCTGGGCTGGAAGGCATCATAAGCTGTCTTTTGCTTGGCCACGGCTGTGTCTTGATGCTTCCTGGCCAGCTTGAGGATGGTCAGTTAATCCAGTGGTAGGTCTTACTTTCCATGCTGGAGGCTGAGATTGCCTCCCAGCCCAGTTGCCTGCCCTTGCCCAGCCACTCCCTTACCCTGGTCAGCATGGGGTTGCTGCCCTGCTCTGCAGTGAGCTGCTGGCGATCGAAGTCCTGGTGGACCTGGTCGTCCAGTGCTGTGCAGGTCGCAGCTACTGCCACAGTGAGCTGGCCTTGCTCTTCCACCCAGCAGCAATGGTGGTAGCTCTCATCAGTGCAGGGCCAGCAAGATTGAGCATCTGCATTTCCTTGCAGCTTCCTGGAGCATGCTGGACTTTGAAGTCAAACTTCACCAGCGTCTCTAACCAGCAGGCCAGCTGTCACGTTGGGCAGATGGGAGATGGTTGCTCCTTCCGGAACTGGAACCACTAGCCACAAAGATATGGAGGAAAGTGCTTGCATTGCTGCACAGTGGCTAACAGTTCCCACTGGGTCATGCAATACTTGCGCTCCTGCCAGCTCAATGTCCAGAAAGAAGTATGCTACTACGGGCTCCTCTTTGGGACCCGCCTGTGACAGCACAGTGCCCAGTCCCTTACCTCTAGTGTCCGTTGTTACGCTCCAGTCTAGGGTTGGAGCCTAACAAAGTGAAAGGGAAGGAGGGATTGGGAAGGACAGGACAACCAGAGCTAGGAGAAGGGAACACGGGACACAAAGGGAGTCTTTTTTTTATAGTTTTTTTTATAGTTTTTCACAAACACTGTACAAACACTAGGTGTAACGAACGTCAGGAGTGACAAAGGCCAAAGAAACAAACAAAAACACATCTACCGAGTATAACCACAAGCTAAGCTACCTAAGTGAACACAAAAGGGGTGAAACGAAACAACAATGCCTAAACCTATCTCCCTAACCAAACAAACAGTAATCCCCACGTTTACGATTAAACAAAAAGGCAGACACTCCTTACACACATCTAGTGGAACACGAAACACACAGTCGAAGCAAAGGTATCCAGAGGGGAGATCAGAGAGGCGAAGTCGAAGTACAGGCGAGAGTTCAAAACCAAGCAAGCAGTCAAAACCAGGGCGAAGGTACAATAAGGGATGAGGCGAAAATCGGAAGTCAAGAACAAAACAGTCACATACAAGCATTCAGACCAAAGGCAAAGCGAACGAAGAGCGAGCTAGCAGGCGAGAAGCAAGTAGCGGGCAGACGAAGGGACGAAGCGGCAATCTCTTCAGCCGATAAACTGGAAACTGCTCCGAAGGCAAGGGAGGCGGGGTCAGGTCCAGAGGGCGGAGTCGAGGGGGCGGTTGACCAATCGGCGAGTGGGCNGGACCCACGTGCCTTGTTCGGGCTGTGCCCGACCAGGCCCCATGGGTATAGGCCTGGCCACCAGGCGCTCGCCATCGAGCCCCACCCCCAGGCCTGGCTCCAGGGGAAGGGCCCCAGTGACCCGCGTCCGGGCAAGGGAAAACGTGTTTCCATGTTGTTTTTCTTCATAAGGGGTCTTTTGAGCCGCACTTCGTCTGGTTCCTCACCCAGGACCTGTTTGCCTTGGGTGACCCTACCAGGGGCATAAAGCCCTGGGCAACTTAGCTCCTGGGATCACTGGAACACGCAAACCCCTCCACCAGGACAAGGTGTCGGGTCTAGGAGGGGTTCCCCAAAATCAAATACAAAAAAAAAAATTAACAAAATTTATACATTTGTATTGTTTTGCAATTTACATTTTGACGACTTTTTGGTTTTCGTTTTGCTTTTGTTTTCATTTGTTTTCGTTTTGGTAGTCTCTCATGTGCCCTCATCTGTGGCCTGATCACACCTGCAGAAAAACAATAGAAATCACTGTTTGCTATTGTTCACCATTGTGGATTCATGTTTGACCATCTCTGCCTTTTTCATGCTGTCTCCTCACCATAACTGCTCCTCTTTGTGGTCCATGTCTAGCTTTCATGTCAAACCTTTGCATGACTGGTTCAGTTGCTCCTTGAGTGTCTGTATTACTCACTGTAATGTAGATCTTTTCATATAAGTACTATCTGGCAGCCTGTTACATGCCGCAGCACTTTAATAACCTGCATGGACCCACAGTGATGTGCATCGCTAAGAGGATATCGGCAGGAACCTGCTCTGATCTGTGTTAAGAGATGTTCCTGGTGTTTGGAATAAGCGTTTTGCATCGTTTTATGTTTTTAATCTTGTGATTTTTTTTTTTTTACTTTTTCATGACTAATATGTTCTGCTACAAAGGGGTGGTGTGGTTCAGCAGGTCAGAACTCTGTGCCTGTGACCAGAAGGTCACTAGTTCAAATGCCACGGTCACAATCCCTGTGATCAACCATTATAAACAGTGGTATGAGTCACCTTGGAACCTAAATCATGCCAACAAGGACCCTTTATTTATGTACTCTTATTTATTAAAATGTTCAATTAAAAACATGTTCAAGTAATGTTATATTTCCTAGAAAAATTAATAGTAGTTGTACGGGAATGAAAATACAGGTCATCTTCCCTGATAAGTGATATCGGAAACTTGTGTGAAAACTCATCATCATCTAAACAATTTAATCTGAAGCCATAAAAAGGTACAATTAACTGATAAGAATATATAAAAACAATAGGGATTCAGCACCTCTGGTGCT